ACTTTCTGGCATTTCCCCCCTGGCGGCTCCTCCCGTGACCGTCAGTCCCACCTGTTCCCCCTACACCCCTCTCTTCCCTACACCCCTCTCCCCCCCAACCCCCACCCCGAAGGGGCTTTGGGAAAAACATCCATCTTAAGATTCTCTCCAGGGAATGAATGAGTGATCTGCCCAGAAAAGAGGGCATCGGCGACGCCCCCCTCCTGCTTTCACTGTGGTCCGCTAGGCAGCTCCCCCATCCCCCGCCGGCCTCGCGCAGTTAACCGCTGGAGGGAGGGTTCAAGGGCAGGTCCCCATCGAACCTGTGTCCCTTCTGGTTCTGATCTTTTAAGGCCGTGGAGAGGGAGCTCACTGCCCAGTTCTCCATCTCCATAAAAAAATACTATAAGAGACATACCTAAGTATCGAAAGATTTTTAAGGATCAGGTGCATTTCAGAGGGGGACTTTTCCAGAAACTTCCTCCATTGGAGAGGACGAGGATGCAGAGCTGGCTGAGGTTCAGCTCGGCTGCGAGGTGGCCAGCACCCGCAGTTTTATCAGGATAGCCCCTCGAGGAAAAGGTCTGATTAGGGGAAATGGTACACATTTTAGTGAGTCTAAAGCACTGTCAAATTAAAAATACGTATTTTGGAATGTGCTGCTTAATTAAACGATGAGAAAGCATGGATTGTAAGACTCACCCCCATTTCAGAGATTTTTTAAATGTTTTTTAGAATTGCTGAAATGCAGTAGCAACCACCATGGCAGGACTGCTTAGTTCTTTGGGTTTTTATGATAACTTGCAGTCTTGTGCAGGTGAGGAGACAGGTGGATAAGTAATGTGCCCTGGATAAGGATGGGGCGGTTGCCTTATGTGTCGGAGAAGCTGGGGTGCAGACCACTCAGACTCAAACATGTGAATGTCTCATATACAAGCTCCCAGTGAACTTGGGTGATCTGGGGCAGGGAGAGGTAGGGGTCATAGAGAGCCTTCCATCAGGGTTCAAATGGAAGCCCAGCTGCTTCTCAGTTACCAGGGATAATTGTAGTTAAGCTGGATGTGGCCTCTCCCTGCTCTGACCTCACATGACCATGTGTCTGCACTTGTCATGGTTCTGAGTTCTGATTGTTATCGCACACAGCGCTCCTACTAGCGGGGTGGCCTTGCGGGGAGGGGGCTGGATCCGTATCTATGTCTGTGTCCTTACAGCCTTCTCCCCTGAGACCATCTCTGTGCTGTAAAGGGGGAGATAAAGCAGCAGCAGTGGGCTGGAATAATTAGTCTTGGGGGACAGAGGGAGAAGACAGAGAAACCTGGTGATGAGTTAGGGCCACAGTCCAGGCAAAAGGTGACCAGGGCCAGCTCCTGTTCAAGTGCCACAGGGTGGAAGGGGAGGGCACCCATGGTAGGACGTGGGGCGCGCTGTTGGTATCTGATAAGCATGTGCAGCAGGAAGAAAGGTGAGGCGGGCTGGGCAGGGAACCAGCTCTGGGAAGCTGGCCCACACTCGGCCGCCGCTGGGCCTTCTCTTTGATCCAACCCCCTGCCCAGCCACCTTCCCTTTTTGTCCATATATTCTCTCTCTCTTTTTTTTTAAATTTTTAATTTGAAGTATAGTTGATTTACAATGCCATGTTAGTTTCTCGTGTACAGCGTAGTGAATCAGTTATGCATATGTATATTCTTTTCAGATTCTTCCCCATTATAGGTTATTACAAGAAATTGAATATAGTTCCCTGTGCTCTACAGTAGAAGTTTATCTGTTTTATATATAGTAGTTTGTATCTGTTAATCCCAAACTCCTTAATTTATCCCTCCCTCATCTTCCTCTTTGGTAATGTAAGTTTGTTTTCTATGTCTTTGAGTCTATTTCTAGTTTGTAAATAAGTTATTTGTATCTTTTTTTTTAGATTCCACATATAAATGATATTATATGATATTTGTCCTTCTCTGACTTACTTCATTTAATATGATCATCTCTAGGTTCATCCATGTTACTGCAAATGGCACTATTTCATTCTTTTTGTGGCTTAGTAACATTCCATCGTGTAGCTATACCACGTCTTCTTTATCCAGTCATCTGTTGATGGACATTTAGGTTGCTTCCATGTCTTGACTACTGTAAATAGTGCTGCTGTGAACATTGAGGTGCATGTATCTTTTTTAATTAGCGTTTCCTCCAGATATATGCCCAGGAGTAGGATTGCTAGATCATATGGTAACTCTATGTTTAGTTTTTTAAGAACCTCCATACTGTTTTCCATAGTGTCTGTTTTCCATAGTGGCTGTACCAGTTTACATTCCCACCAACAGTGTAGGAGGGTTCCCTTTTCTCCACACCCTCTTGGCCATATATTCTTTTAAAGTTGGTGGCAAAAAATGGCTGCTTGAAAGCCTGGAGCTTGACAGCCATCAGAAATGCTAGAGAGAAACCAGTTAAGTCAGGGGCCTCTTTTCCCCATTTCTGCCTGCAGAGATGCCGGAGGGGCCATCGGTGAGGAAGTTTCACCATCTGGTCTCCCCCTTTGTGGGGCAGCAAGTGGTCAGGACAGGGGGCAGCAGTCAGAAGCTAAATCCTGCCAGCTTTGAGTCCCTGTGGCTCCAGGACACCCAGGTGAGTTCCTTGTTCTCTTCTGGGGGAGGCTCGTTCTGTACCTCAGCCACCCCCAGCCCTAAACAACCTCTAATCTGTTTTCTGCCTTACAGATATGCCTTTTGGGGCATGTCACATACATGGAATCATGCAGGCTGTGTCTTTTTGTGACTGGCTGCTTTCACTGATGTTTTCAGAGTCCAT